ATCCAAGAGAAAATGCCAGCTGCTCTAAGCTACATCAATCACCAGCTGAGAGCTATATCAGCTTGGGGGAAATAGATGGAGGTAATATTTGCACCTGAGAAAACGCAATGATGATCGTCTCAGGCACCATGATGGAATGCTGGTGCAGTAGTAAGGATGAATGGGGGGATGTTGGCACCTGGAGAAGAAGTTGATATCCTTGGGGTGAAATTTGACTCCAAACTAACCATGAAGAACCATGTTGTAAATCTTGCAAACAAGGCAGCCAGGAAGCTTACAGCACTTCACCGTATCTCGCATCTGCTTGACAGTAGGGGTTGCAAGATCCTGTAAGAGGCACAAGTACACTCGCACCTTGAGTATGCTCCACTTTCTTGGTTTACCTGCGCCCCCCCCTCTCATCTGCAACTGCTTGACAGAGTAGAGAACAGAGCAAGATGTCTCATCTCTCGCCTGGACCCATCCTGGATAGATCTGTCATTTCAGCAGAGCCTTCAACATAGGAGGGATGTGGGTGGCCTTACTGTTATGTACAAGGCCAATATTGTCAAAGTACCACACTTGGATCCACTTCGAGGACAGCGTGAAACAAGCTTTTATGCCACAAGATGGGCAGAAAGCAGCAACTTCACTCTGGCTGTACCCTTCTCCAGAACTTCACTCCATCTGAGATCCTATATACCCAGGATGACTCGAGTATGGAACACATTCGTACAGCATAATGATGTCAACGAGATGAAGTCAGTTGATCAAATGAAAATGCTGGCCCACAGATGGCTCTAACTTCATCCTGTTCCCTACTTGTATGTCTCATAACAATAAAAATGCTTTCAAATGAGCTGATGTAAGTAACAGCTCTTAGCTTGCCAATAAAGTTAGGAATCCTTAACCTGTAAATAGCTTGTCAATAAAGCTAGAGATCCTTAACCTTGTCAAACCCTGTGTGAAAAAAAAGAAAAAATGAGAGAGAGATACAGAGAGAGAGAGATAGAGAGATAAAGAGATAGAGAGAGAGATACAGAGAGAGAGGGCGAGATACAGAGAGAGATAGAGAGAGAGAGAGATACAGAGAGAGAGATACAGAGAGAGAGAGGGATACAGAGAGAGAGATAAGATAAAGAGAGAGAGAGGGAGAGAGAGAGAGAGAGAGAGAGAGCCACATTCAGTCAGCCAATCACCCACCCGGCCTCCCACCCACTCGGCCAGCCAGCCAGCTACGTATTATACATGTTCCAGAGTTGTTTCTCTTTACTTAGGGTATAGGTTATACTACATTCTGGCAGGATGACACTACCAGTGGTATTCTCCCATTCCACTGTGTCAACAATACATAAAGATAACAGTAACATATGATACTGTATGCGATTTAAAATTTACAATACAGTTCACTACCATGTATACATTATATACATTACATAAATAATTAAAATATAACAATAGAAGTAAATTATGGTAAAAAAAATGAAATAATGATTGTACATTACATTACAGAACTATGTAGGTAGTTTATATAGGAAAAGTTTGACATTATGCCCTACCCAATATGTCAGCAATTTTCAGAGGCTCGACTTACGTCCATTTTGACTTATGACCGGTTGGTCAGAACCAAGCTTGGTCGTAAGTCGGATGGTAGGTTTATTATTATTATTACTATTGTTATTATTAACAGCGACAGAAATGTTTGATTCTTTGCTGTGCTCAAGAGTAAACATATGATGTCACCGTCCATACCTGTCTGAATAACCATTCCAATATGCAGTTATGAATGGGTTGACATTATTTATATGTACTGTAGTTTAATAGCAAATAATGAACAAACAAAACACTCACCACACAGTGGTGGGAGGGCTGGCTGCCAGTTGCGGGGGTCGGAGGGAGGGTAGTAGGGACTCGCAGGTGGCGGGTAACTTAAATATGATTTGGCGGCTGGGAATTTAGCAATTGGGAATTCGCGAATGTGTGAAGCCCGTGTAAGTTGAAAACACAAATGTTGAGTGAGACCTGTATTTCTGTCTCTGTCTCTGTGTATCTGTCTCACAGGTGCACAAATAGTTATGCATAGTGTAAATTACCTAGGATAACCCCAAAAAAATCCAGACAAAATGCTATACTGCTCCTGTAGATATAAGGCATAATAATCATGAGGGGCAAGTAATATGCACTTTCACTTGATCAGGAATCGGATGTGATGGCTCTGCATCACGTGTAATACCTATTGGTTCATGAGAGTCTTAATGTCTCTTTCTGAGACAGAAAGAGAAACAAGCAGTCAGAGAGACAGGAAGACATGCACAGGCAGAGAGAAAGACAGATAAGCAGAGACAGAGATAGAGATATACAGAGACAGATCTAGACAGACAGGGAGATTAGACAGTCAGATACAGACAGACAGGCAGACAGACATGTTTATAAGTAAAACTGAAAACAATTAACCCTTTCAGAGTCGACAGGCCCTCTCCCAGATTTGTTCTCAGGGTCACCAAGTTTCCAAAAAAAAAAAAAAAAAAATTTCTTATGAAAAGATAGAGAATATTTTCCTGATCATAATGACACCAAAAGTATGAAATTTTATGGAAAACTTACGGAATTATGCTCTCGCGAAGTTAGCGGTCTTGACGATGTTTACGCATCGGCGATTTTGCCCACCTTGAGCCCTATTTTTGGCCAATTCCAGTGTACTAGTCAACAAAAATCATAACTATTTCGCTAGAACTCCGTTTTTTCTATCGAATGAGTACAAGAAACCAACCATTTACCAATTTCAACTATCCAATAAAGTGGTCAGAATTTAGCAATTTTGCCAATTTCACACAAATTTCAAAGATGCCAATTTCCAAATAGGGGCCAGAATAAACAAGAAAGACATTCCTGGCACTAAAATAACATTTCCTCTGTTCATTAGTCACGTACCCACGCCCCTCTTACATTTCTTTTGCTTTCCACTTTGAATTTTTATTCTCACAAAAAGTAGATTTACTGTTATGCAGACTACTGCATTAGTGTAGAAATGATATAAATAATATTGGCGCACTTGTGAAAGAATGTTAAACTCACCACTTGACGTGTATTGGACGTGTAGCATGATTTGTTTACTTTTGAACTTTGGCAAAAATCGAAGATTTCTGGTACTTTGAGCTCAATTTCAAGGTACTTTTCATTGTAAAACAAATCAAAATCGTCTCCATTTCTGTAATATGTCTTCCATTCTATAAAATGAGACCAGGAAAACTAGAATACCATCATAAATACCATACAAAAATACAGTGCAAATTCGCTGTTTTAACCCTTTCATGGTCGACAGGCTTCTCGGAGACTTGTTCTCAGGGTCGGCCAAATTTCAAAAAGAAAAATTATTTTTTTCTTATGAAAAGATAGAGAATCGTTTCCCGATCATAATGACACCATAATTATGAAATTTGGTGGAAAACTTACGGAATTATGCTCTCGCGAAGTTAGCAGTCTCGACGATGTTTACGCATCGGCAATTTTGCCCAATTTGAGCGCTATTTTCGGCCAATTCTAGTGTACTTGTCGACAAAAATCATAACTATTTTGCTAGAACTCCATTTTTTCTATCGAATGAGTACAAGAAACCATCCATTTACCGATTTCAACTTTCCAATACAGTGGTCAGAATTTAGCAATTTTGCCAATTTCACACAAATTTCAGAAGATGCCAATTTCCAAATAGGGTTCAGAATAAACAAGAAAGACATTCCTGGCACTAAAATAGCATTTCCTCTGTTCATTAGTCACGTCCCCAGGCCCCTCTTACATTCTTTTGCTTTCCACTTTGAATTTTTATTCTCACAAAAAAATAGAAGATTTACTGTTATGCAGACTACTGCATTGGTGTAGAAATGGTATACATATTATCAGCGCACTTGTGAAAGAATATTAGACTGTTGACGTGTTGACGTGTATTGGACGCATAGCATGATTTGTTTACTTTTGAACTTTGGTAAAAATCGAACATTTCTGCTACTTTGAGTGCAATTTCTAGGTAGTTTTCTTTGTAAAACCAGTCAAAATCATCTCAATTTCTGTAATATGTCTTCCATTCTATACAATGAGACCAGGAAAACTAGAATACAACAATAAGTACCATATGAAAATACAGTGCAAAGTCGCTGTTTTAATCCAAAAACATGGTCAAAGTTTTTTTTCTCATTACGCACTGTGTGCTGCAGGATTTTTTTTATACTGCGCACACTGACCACATAGACCCATTCTTTCATATGTAGGCCTACCAGTTTTCTCTTGCTAGATTTGAGGGCGCTAGAATTTAGGCGTACTAGTACGTCAAAAACCCTTGTGCGTAAGCCATACTAGTACGTTGGAAACCCTGATAGGGTTAAAGCCAAAGCAGCACACGATCATCAAGTGTCACTCCACTACTGCACTGTCAGCACTGGATTGACACTCGTCTTACAAGATGCTTCAAGGAGTTTCATATACAGTGGACCCCAGGCTATCGTAATTAAACCTTTGATTGTTTCAGTCGTATATCCCTTTCAGGGTCTGTGCTGTAGATCTACAGCTTTATGTTCAGGGTCCAAACCATAGATCTATGCCAAAATTCTAGCAGCGTCATATTTAGCGCGAAAAGGCTGGTAGGCCTACATGTGAGAGAACGGGTCTGCGTGTTGTGTGAGTGCCATAAACAAAAATTCTAGGCGCCCACATAGCATTGTGGGAATGCCAGCTCAGTTACCTTTGTTCACCATGCCTCGTCGCAAGGCAACTCTTACTCCAAGGAAAATTGGGACTCTCCTCTTCCTATCTGATAGTTCTGACTCTGATGGAAGTGGAAATGAAGACGAATTCTTTGGCTTTGATCAGTTAGTGACCGAAAGGAATGACCGGGATATCGATAATAGTGCAGAAAACCCTGACACTCCTCAACCTTCTACCTCTGGTGTGGGCATGCCTCAGTCACGTTCAGTTGTACCTCATCGCAAGAGAAAACTATTATTTTCGCGTGGCCAGGCCTCTATAATGATCATGATAGTGACGTGGATTGTGATTTTATTGCTCTTGACAATCATTCGAGTAGTGATAGTGAGGAAGCATATTCACCAATGAAGCGTCGGTACATATGCCGCTGCATGCCCTTGGGTAGTGTTCCCTATGCAGTGCCCAGGGGACGGAGTACATCCCAGAGTACATTCCAGAGTACATCCCATGGCCCTCCACCAGGAATAGACAGTGAAAGTGAGGATGATGTGGCTACACTTGGCATGGATAGACCACAGGCATCAGTAGGTGGTGGTAGTGGTGATGGTAGTGCCACGGCCATGCATGACTCACCAGCCCAGGCTGGGACCCACGCTGCTGACTCCTCAGCTCAAGGACAAAGTGGAGCGTCAGCCACCACCCCGCCACAACTACCAGCACAACCAGCTTATGATGTCCAGTATCCACCAGCAAATCATATCTGGGATTCGCAGCAAAATCCCAATTTTGTTCCCCAGCTCCACCAGTTTGATGACTCTCAAAGTGGAATTCTACCAACTTGTTCCCTTGGAAACACTGCAAATGAACTGGAATTTTTTGAGCTATTCTCTGACCAGCCCTTGATGAAAACTATTGTCAATTAAAGTAACAAGTATTTTGAGTACACCATGGCAAATATGATATCACTACAGTCAAGACTACACTGGTGGAAAGAGACAACTGTTGCACAAATGTATTTGCTTTTTGCAACAATAATGCTTATGCCTCATGTCTATAAGCATAATATAAAATCATACTGGTCCACAGATCGGCTAATTTGTACCCCGGTCTTCAGTGAAATCATCCCAGTGAACAGGTTTATCTTACTGTTACGTAAGTTGCACTTCTCTGACAAAACCAGGCCTGACAGAAGTAACAGGCTATACAAGATTAGAAATATTTTTATGTATCTGAAACAAAAGTTCAGCATGTACTTTTATCCATTCAAGAATCTTGTAATTGACGAGTCTTTGATTTTGTTCAAAGGTAGACTGTTGTTCAAACAGTATATACTGAACGAGAGGAAATGCTTTGGTATAAAACTGTTTGTACTCTGTGACTATGACAGTGGCCTGGTATTGGATATTGTTGTATACACGGGAAGTAAAACATTGAAAGATATCAGGATGTTATTGGGTATCTCAGGTGAAGTAGTGAGAAGCATGATGGCACCTTATCTTGGTAAGGGGCATACATTATATACTGATAACTGGTACACAAGCCCTTTACTCAGTGATTTCTTGCAAGTGAACATGACAGATGTGTGTGGCACAGTGCGTTCTAATTGTAAATATATGCCCAGGTTCAACGTAGGCACTCGTGGTGAAGAGGTGCAGGTGTTTCTGTCAATGACATCATGGCATTTCAGTGGCATGACAAACGAGATGTCACATTGTTGACAACCATTCACCGTAACGAAATGCAAGACAGTGGCAAAGTTGATAGAGTGACTAATGAACATATTCAAAAACCAGTGACAGTGATTGATTATACACAAAACATGCGCTTGGTTGACAAATGTGACATGCAGATTGGCTTTGTTGATTGTTTTTCATAAGAGTTACAAATTTGGTACATGAAACTTTTTTTTCCATCTCATGGACATTTCAATGCTAAAAGTGCATATAATATGTCCCAATTTGAAGACTGGCAAGAGACCACCGTATGGTGAATTTTGTTTGTCTGTTGTCAGACAACTCATAATGAAATACCAGGTAACAACACCTGCTATACAAAACCGTCCTCGAACTCCTCAGGATATACCCAAGCATTTAAGAAGGGAAGGTGATCACTTCATAATACAGCTTCCTGCAACTTAGAAGAAATTTGCTCAGAAGAGATGTGCTGTCTGTGCACAAACAAAATGACGGCAACAAAGACGCAGAGACACTCGGTGTATGTGTGAGGAATGTAAAGTACCTTTGTGCATGGTGCCTTATTTCAAGGAGTTCCACAAGCTGCTGCAGTTCTAAAA